TTAAGCATATCGAACCAAAAAATTGAAGACTGTGAATATTAAACAATTATTTTAACGATGAGACAAAAACTGAAGTTAGTCCAGAATATACTTTTATAATCACTACAAATCATCTTACGCCTCCGATAAATATGATTATAATTCTTTAAATATTAAAAATTCATCTCAAAATCAAAGTGATTTAAAGATTGTTCAAACATTAGATGAATATGAACAATTATGAAATACATAGTATGGTTCGAAATCACGACACTATTAATGATCTGCTAGACTATATATATTTACTTATTCTGACACAAGGCCACAAATGTGGGGCGCCGGTTGAGAATTAAAATCCTTTCAGTCTTAATGGACTAATAGACTTCAGCTAAGGTTAGTCTGATACAAGGTCATAAAGTATGGGACCCTCATTGAGAATCGACATCACTTTAGTCTTAATGACCTACTAGATTAAGTATATTTATTCAGCTAAGCTTAGTGTTACACAACACCGCACGGGGGGCGGCAATTGAGAATCGATATCGCTTTAGTCTTAATGATCTGCTAGATTTGGTATTTATATAGTTTAAAGTAGCACAAAATGCGCTCTTTACACTAGTAATAGTTTTGCTAGTATTATCTTAGTCTAGCATAAGGCTACAAATAGGGAAATCCAGGAAAACTTGAAAAGAGTATAGTATTAGTGATCTGTTAAACTAGGCATTTACTAAACTTAGATTGGCACAGGACCACATGTAGAGGCCACCAAATTACTATAGTATTAATACTGTAATAGTGGTCTGGTCTGTTCGCCTGTGAACCAATCCGTCACGATTTGGTATCCAATGGTCAAATACTTTCAATGAGATTATTGCACTAACCTCAATCGTTTGTTTGGATCAAATATCTTAGTTGTTGGCCAGTGACGTTTAAGTTGGAATGCTGTCAAGTACTTGAGTTGATTTCCTTTATTTATACTGAATAGTTGTGGTCACGACAAGCAACTACCAGCGAATCCACAATGAATAAAACCGTGCATAATACTTGGAAATAATACTTTGGTTGTTAAATTTCATAGAATGTGTTTGCTCACATCAAAAAAGATGGCAAAAAAAACAAAAAACAAACTCTGTAAACAATCTCACCTTGTTTGTATTAAAACTATGCCAAAATTCCTTTAACTAATATATCAATAGCTTATTGTAACGATATTACTTCAGAAATTTACAGGAAATCCTATTTTAGACAAGTAAATCTAGATTTATAGAGAAAAATAATTTAGTGGAAATCCTATAGAAAGCAATCGAATGTGAAATATTTAGAAATTTAATTTTTTTTAAGAAATCGATACATCTCAGCCATCAGCATTTTAAGGTATAAATACCGATGAAAAAAATAAAAACAAATGATAAAAACCTAAAAAAAATGTAAAAAAAAAACTGAATTAGACGTTTCTAATTCTATTGCCTTTATTTATTGACTCTATTCTATTGTCCCTATTATATATTTAATGAAATTATTCTATTGCTTTTACTATGCATTTATTGACACTATTCTGTTGCCTTTGTATCCTGCCACTAGTAACCCATTTGTTATTTATTTTCACTGTATTGAAAAAATCGTTTAACATGTGTTTCTATAGTAAAATTATAGTTATTTTGTCCGTATAATAGCTCTATTCTGTTAGTAAGTCTTAGTAATTCTCGATCACTGATAATCGCTACTTGATTTTCACTGTATTTCGATAATAAAACATCTGCAATTCATGTTCATTAGAGATGTTCTGTCAGTAAAACTTGTAAGAATTCCAGACCAGAAGTTTTAACGTATTTTTTATAATAAATATTCTTCAATGTATTTCTATAATAATTAATATCCAGTGATTTTCTGTGTGTGCTTTTAGTATTACTGTGTAATTATCACATTACGTAAAACTTTAACAAAATAATTTAAGAAATCTACAGAAATTCTCTTTTTAAACAATCAAATAATAGATTTATGAATATATGTTAAGCATATCTAAAAAAAAAATCCGATTTGAAGCAAAATGTTTAGAAACTTGCATAGTACCCGTCGAAAATAAGATTATTTATAAATAGATCGACACTTCGATGGTCACAGGTCTGTGCACGCATCCTAAGATCAAAGTGTTATTTAGTAGTGCTCAGCCAAGGATCAGAGTGTAGTATCTGTGCACACTGTAAAAAATGTCAAAGTATATATATATATATATATATATATATATATATATAAGTGTGTGTGTGTAATTCTTGTGACTGTAAACATTATTTTTTACTGTGTACATGTATTTGAATAGACATTCTGATTTTAAAACAGTGGGATTAACACTTACATGCCTATATCATTGGAAATCTTATTAAAGAATATGTAGTATTCGACAGAGATCGAACCTACGTTCACTTTATCTGTAAAATCATAAGTTAGTCAGGTGTGCTTTTAACGTTTCGAGCCCAGAGGTCCTTGCAGCAAGACAAGTCTCAATTACCCTTTTTATGAAAAGTAAATCTATTCTTGGGAATTTTCAGTATCTGTATTTGTTAACTCATGTTTTAGATGATCTAGGCCGGTAGACGTAAATGTCAATGTTAAAAGAATAGGTATGTCTATTCAAGCATGTATACCTACTAAAAATATCGTGTAAACAATAGGAAATATTGTCGAATTAAAAAAAATTAATTGTTTAAATTATTTAGTTTACTTTTCGGGTATGAAATAAAATACTGAAAATATTGTTTATTTTACCCCAACTTCAATCTTAAAATATATGTGTGTATCGGTTATCGATGCTCTGTGGTGGAATCAGCGTGCCGAGTCTGTTTCGTTCATTTCGCACTAATGCCCTTTTGCTTTTGGTTACAGCCAGTCTAGGAGAAATAAAAACTGAATTCAAAATCAACCTGAAAAGGATGAGATCCGTCAGGTTATCTTGACCTCCTACGGATGCAGTATATGTGGGCCCGAAATTGCCTAATGAGTGATATGTCAACTCTCACAGTGCAATCAAAAACAATCTTTTTGAATGAGGTTCATTCAAGCTAATTACTTGGGAGATCATATAATGTTTGTTTTTAACTTGTCATGTCCCTTCAGGGCAGAAGCGATCATCACCTTCCACAAATGGAGTAAAACTATTAGTAGCATAATACTCAGAATGAAGAGTATATCAACCCAACATGTTGGGATAAAAAATAAGAATAATAATATGAAGTAAAACTAGTAATAATAAAAAGAAGATAGTATTTTTTAAATGCCATATCCGTTCAGGATACGGGCTATCATGGCTCCCCACATATTCCTTTACGTTATTATTTGTGAATTGTCATAACTTCTTGGGAGAGACAGTGTAGTGGTTTACATTCGCCTTCTCCATGGTTTTGAATTAAGAGTTTTCTCTTTCCTAGACTGTCACACAAGACTAGAGAGTCTACCTACCCTGTTATCTATCCGATCTCTCGTGTGAGGTGTGAGACAAGAGATGAATGAGTGTTTTTTCCAAGATCCTTCATACCAAAATAAATGTAACAGGAAAAACGGAACTTGGACTCGGTTCGACGCTTCCACTTTCGGCGCCGATAGCCGTTACGCTTCGTGCACATCTCTTTGTTGAAACTAAACGCTCCTAATGCTATTCAACAACAAAACAACGAACTTTTTGGTCATCCCAATATTTATTCTGCTTTGTCACGACTTTTCTGACATTTTTCGTAAACATGGTTGACAAATCATCCAAAAATGTTTGCGGATTTGCTTGTTTTCCGGTGGAAATTGCGGTAACCTGATTAGACCTGGAAACGTTTTGAAGTGCTTAGACAAAGATATAACTGAAATTGGCTATATTTCTGGTTTCTTGGTGGGAGTTGAAACTTCTCAAGAGGTAAATTAAGATATCTTGCTGCACTCAGTGACTTACTTGTTTGTTTGAAAGCGTTCTATTTATAGAAAGTTTACAAAATTATCCGGTAACGTAGGCGAAAACATAAGAAATAGAAATGTAATTGCATTCGTTTATATGTCTTTAAAAAAACTGGCGCAACACAGTCTTCCTAACCACCATTTGGCTGATGTCAAATTAAGATAGTTTTGAGAAATATCGACGAGAAATTGGCGTGATGATCCTCGGCGTGTAAAATGAAAACAAGGAGCAAAATTTAACCCACCTATTTAACCCAAAAATGTCCACCTTAATATCCAGTATAAATTATAAATATTAGAATAAAAACCCAGTATTAATTATAGGTTTCTAAAAAAAAAAGTCTGGTATTAATTATGTTTCTACCTATAACCCAATAATGTCCACCGTCCCACAAATGATATGGCGGGCATTAGAAGATTAATCCAAAAATAATTACAACATTTATCCCATAGTTGCTCCAGTTGTATATTGGTAACACCTATTAAATGTTATGTTTGTACAACTTAGCAACAACGTCGTGTAGTTACGTTTAATTTTGACAGTTGCAATTAAGAAAAAAACAAAAAATCCTGTACAAATTATAGATTTTGGGACGGTGAGCATTATGCTCAGCGGTGCAGAGGCTATGAGCAAAGTGTAGTATCTGTCCCGTGGCTATGACCAGCTAAGACAAGCTTTGTGCCCGATTCCACGTAAGTGGGGATGGGTAAACACTGACCAATATTTTTTGACCCATGACCCGAGTATACGCTCGGGTTGCCCTCATTAAATAACTGACCTGTTGTCTGAGGAGTAAATATGAGATGACTTCGTAATTTTTATTACTTCACCAAAAGTATAGATTTCATGTGCCAGGTAAATATCTGGATTGTTAATTGTAAGTCATTTTTAATAACTTTCTTTTTCCAAAATATTTTCGCAGTTTCTTTTCTGGATCGGCTTCAATTTCTATTACGTTAAAAAAAAACGTTTAGAGAGATCATTTTTTGCTCATAGGTCATAAAAACGGTCTTCCAAAATGCAACCCCTTACTCTCCATCTCCGAAAAAAAGTAGAAAACATCCAAGTTATTGGGCAAACATACATCTCAAACCGAATGTGTGGTCCCCAGAGAAGCGCTGACTTCTACGACCAGAGTTCCCAGAAAGAATCCTACGTTTTCGAGCAAACGAGAAAAATGCCTTGAATCTTGTAAACACAAGAAATCCAGGGCATGGGTAAGATTAATGATGGAGAGAGAGAGGGAGAGAGAGAGAAAGTGAGAGAGAGAGAGAGGTGGGGAGAGAGAGAGAGTGTGTGATCTATGTCTGAGATTCTTTGAAGGAGCAAACGGGAAATGGAGGGGAGCAAAAGAAGAAATAAAAAGGTTTAAGAGGTCAGGCAGTAAAAAGAAAAAAAAAATGATATTGAGTGAAAATAACAGCACGCGATTAACGTTCTGTGGTTTATTGAAGAAAGTCTTTCCGTTATGCTCGACGCGCCATCTCCCTAGAGAATAAACGTTACGTGAAACATCTTTTATGTTCCGTGTCCATTTGGGTGATCATGGTTCTCCACAACTTTCTATCCTTTGTAGCTCTGAGTAATGTTTGCAGCCTTACTATCACCCTCAGTATCTGTTTTACCATCCATTTATTCAAGCGCGTTAGGTAGGTTACTTGCTAATTTCCTTTGCCCCTTTTGCCTTCAATATGTTTTGTGAGTGTCAAATTCTCTGAACTCCCTTTTCTTAATATGCATCCCAAAAATATCAATTGTCTCTTTCTGATCGTAAACACAGGTGTCATTTTCATTACCATGTTCCGTCCTTAGTATTATCAGCATCCTTCTGTAGACCACATATCTGTTGTCTCAAGTCTACTCTATCTGTGAGGAAATTGTTCAGTATTCACTGCCTTATAGGAGACAACAGATATTACATAACAGCTCAACACTTATTTTTGTTTTCAACGAATTAATATTTAATGCCTTTAGTTTTTGGATGGTATCTTTCGCTATTAAGATACACCTTCGGATTTCTGCGTTTCCATTGTCTGTTAGAACACTTCCCAGATAATTAAATTTCTGTACTTGCTTGGTTTTGATGTCTCCAGTACTTGCATCTTGGACTATCCCTCTTGCTAACTATACATTCTGTCTTCTTACAATTGAGGGTTAGTACTATTTTGTTTAGAAATACCAGCAGTTTTTTTCTGTATCTGCAAACAATACAGTGCAGGTTAACCTTCAATATTTGAAAACCTGTCCTTGAAAACATGCTCCGAAAAGTGGAATCGGCCCTGCCGAGTTCAAATTCCGGACAAGTCCCTTGCGTTCACTCTCATTAACACTTTTGTTCTTTAGTCTTGGGTCTTACACGGTTTAAGAAACGGACTACTGTATTAAAAAAATTATGGCAATGGTATCTCCATTGTTTTTTCCCAAAATGTCATTGAAGTATGCTGATTATAAAGAAAAGGAATCTGTGGAGAACCATGGCCGCTTTTGTCCTGAAGGAAAATGATATTTTTTAAAAAATCCCTTGAAGAATAGTACCTAAAATTACACATCTTCTAAACTTTTTCTATTCGGAACAGTTTATTATAAATTTATATTACATTTATCTTATACTATTTTTTAAAAATGCCACCTATTTTTCTCTACTGATTTATTTTCTTTAATACTGTGACTGTTTTGGGGAAAGTTAGTGGAATGCTTTTCCGATGATTCCTCCACGGCTATAAATTTTCCTCTTCGACTGGTCACCGTGCCAAGGAGAGAGAGCCGAATCCAGCTTACTACTGTACACAAAGCTATAGTGAAAAGTGATTGATTCATGCCTTTACTACGGGTATTAGTGCAACGTAATCGCAAAAACCTTGGTCGGGATTTAAACTCGCCAGTTCCACTTTCCACAGTAATCGCACTTACGCCACACACACGCACATATTTTATATAGCATATGTATTCTGCTTCATTTTATATATATACTAGCAGTAGAGCCCGGCGTTGCCCAGGGATATAACAGTAAGAGATAGATCAAGTATCGACCATCATAAAGACTGAAAAATAAAATTGACAAAGATTATTGTTTAAGGTTGACGCACATGCATGTCTTAATTATTATTTTTTATTTTTTTTACGAATTGGTCAAACCCAAACTCAAACAAAAACATTGTTTTCAATCGTTATGAGTCTCTACCAATTGAATAGAATTTTATTCTAAACAATTGTCTTGTAAATGGAATTTTTAAAGCATTCTGAATGTAAAAATAAAGAAAAAAGTGTGCAAGACAATAAGAAACACTACATGCCAAAAAAAAAAGTGAAGTTTTGTTGAAATCGGTTGAAAAATGTAGGTAGCCTTTCTGTAATCTTTTAGTTTTACAATTTATGATTTTTTTACTATTGAATACAGTAAAAAATTGCATATTTTGCTTGTGGTGATTCATAATTAAATTCTGATTTGAATATATTTTTCACTCGTTGTTTCTAATACAAAAAATATTAACTTTATTTGGGTTTATTAATTATGATCTAACAAATCTTATTCATTTAGTAGCCTTTCTGTAATAATAATCTTTTACAATTTATGATTTTTACTTATTGAATACAGTAAAAAATGGACACCATGTGTATTTAAAGTAGTTTCGTTCCGGTTATTATTTTTAGTTTGGACTTGTGTATGTTTAGATTTCATTATCTTTCCCTAAAGATAAAGAATTTATTCCGATGTTTGTATTCGTACAATCAGTAGAGATCGTTAGATTATTGTTTAAGGTTGACGGACACGCATGTCTTAATTAGTTGTTTTTTTTTTTTTTTACGAATTGGTCAAACCTAAACTCAAACAAAAACATTGTTTTCAATCGTTATGAGTCTCCTGATTGAATAGAATTTTATTATAAATAATTGTCTTGTAAATGGAATTTTAAAGCATTCTGAATGTTAAAAAAAAAAAATAAGAAACACTACCTGCCAAAAAAAAAAGTGAAGTTTTGTTTTATCGGCTGAAAAAATATAGGAAATCCGCTCCCCATATTTAAAGTAACCTACACACAATCAAACCGATGTGAGTTGCCCCCTTCCATTTTCACGATGTCTCTTAATCGTGTTTTCAAATTGATTTTGTGCAAAAAAACAATTATATTTTTCCCATTTTTGGCGCTGTTAGAACAACCACAAGGTAATTTTATGTAGTCCTGTGAAGTTTTGTTGAAATCGGTTGAAAAATGTAGGAACCCGATCCAATATATAAACGTTACACACACACACACACACACACACACACACACAATCTGCGTTTTATAATAAGTAAGATATATGTGTGTGTGTGTGTGTGTGTGTGTGAGAGAGAGAGAGAGAGAGTTACTTCAAAGGTTATTATAGAGGATACTCTGTATTTGAAATAGACGCACTGTTTTTATTTAAACAGTGTGCATTACGTCTATCGGTTTGCGTTTTCAAGAAATCTTAATAAGGAAATATGCGACAAGATTTACCTAACGCGGACGCTATTAAACGTAATAAACACTTTTTAATAAATAAAAATAGGGTATCTATTTCACATACTAAATATGTACGTTAATAACGTTTGAAGTAATAATAATAAATCCATTAATTCTTTATATATATATATATATATATGTGTGTGTGTGTGTGTGTGTGTATACACCTCCAAAAAAGCGATACCTAACATTTAAAATGCATTTTAAAAATGAAAAATCTTTCTTGTAGCTTTTATTTTATTGTTAATTTCAAGCTAATAGATTAAATTTAATATTTCCAATAAGCAAAATACTTTTCTGTATTTCAAACCGAATTTATATTAATTGGAAAGATTTTTTTTTATTATCAGGAAACTCGCTGAAATCGTCCAAATTGATTAATTCTCTTTATTAAAAATCTTTCAAAATGAATATATTCTTTTCTGAAATTTTATTTGAGAAAGATTAGCTGATTTAAAGTTTAGTTAATCAAATTAAAGCAAATATTCTTAGTTTAAATTATCGTAAAAAAAGCATTTTTTTTACACGAAGGTGGATATTTTTATGAAGTCTTATCAATAACCTGATGTTTGTGAGATTTATGTAAGTGGGGAAATACCTTTAGTAAAATTACATAACAAATACAACGTAAACGTCTTTTTATATAATTTTTAACTACCCCGTATTCTTAAAAATTCCAGATGTATTAAGCATTCTTATATTTTATTGAATTTTAGCTACTTTGGCTTTAGGCTTCATAGTCTTACGAATTCGCTATTTGAAGAAACGTTAGTAAATTTGCTGTAGTTACTGCTCTTATTTTGTCATAATATCGTGTATGGACGTACGTATTTATAAAAATCGGTACGTTTATCTACATGTAAAATATTCGAAGTTCTTTTTAAAATACTGGCGATCGCTGAATGAGCTTTTCCATTTATATAAATACAATTTTTATTTAATAAATATATCACATGATCACTACAAATTGATACAGAATTTTAAAAGGTTTAAAACATTATAAATTATTCTGATTAAATTTTTTTGAAAATGAGATCAAATTTTTGTAAAAATTCATAATTCTTCGAAACAATTTTTTTCTTAAGTGTTTTTAGTAGAATTTTAGCTCAGAATTAGAAATGCATTTAATTGCTTTTATAAATAAAATATTCATAAAAGCAATTAAAAGCATTTCTAATTTTGAGCAGATTTTCGGTAACTGGAGGTCCTGTTTGACCAAAAATAATTGATTATTTAAATTCTCCTAGGATTTGTCCTCGTAACTATTATAAACTTTAAGCGTTTCAAAAAAGAATTTTTCGAAATTTCCTAAAATTAAATAAGTATGAAATAACAAATAGAAAAAAGAAATATTTTTATTAAGATTTTCTAAAAATGAAATATTCAAAAACAATTTCATTCATTTGTGTATAATTCCTCAATGCTTTATTAAAATCCAAAAATTATCTGATTTTTGAAAGAATTTCCAAATCTATGCGCTTTTCGCTGCAAAAAGACGTTAAAATTTCCTATACTAAAGCTCCGAAACCTCTAAAAAGAATTAAAAACATAATTTTTGCACATCAAAAAATTAATTGGTCTTTTCTCTTAATAATACAAAAATTTTGACAATAAAACTTTTTTTTATTACGCTTCGGGAATTTTTTCATCATGTATGTTCATTTTTTAGAGGATCCTTGGAGATGGTATAATGGTTAATAACCTTATTTCGTAGATCATTTACTACTTATTAGTGAGTTCAGTCTTTACTAGTACCCCATCGTGTTTAAAATTTGAGATATTTACTGGAAATAGTGCGCATTATCAGAGAGTGAGAGATAGAGAGAGAGGGAGCGATAGTAGATATAAACAGTTTTGAATGGAAATGAGCGTGTATGTATGGTAACTGCCAATTTTACATGTCAATCGATTTTATGATCATGTGTCACTGCATGGTGTGAAGATCTCTTGAGATATGAAACTGACAACAATCATGAAGTGTTCATTTCTATGTTCACACGA